CAGTGCCTCGCAATTCTGGCACATTCCTGATTTTATTAATGTTTTAAAAATAACCTACATAGGAAACCACTGTTAAAATTTTGAAGCTGCATTTATTTTACACAGGAAGAAAGAAGCTTAGAAAGTGTCCATCATGAGCATCCACCTGGGAGCTACACAACAGATCAAATACCCAAAACAAATCACCACATCAGAGCCCCACAGAATTCTGAATCTCAACCAGCAAGCATGAATAATCCTTTTAAATGGTCACTTACATATCAGAACAAGTCCTTTGTGAAATCTTGAAGCAAGGCCTCTGGTTTCTGACTGGAACAGATTTATTGGGAAGGGGGATAAAGTGAAATCAAGAACTACTGGGAAATTTCCACAAGAAAAGAGGACAAATGGTTTTTGTTGTCAGAATGAAACCAGCCTCTCCTGGGGCCAGGGTTTGAAAAGTTGCTGGCTACCCCACAGGAAAGTTGGGTAGTATTCTCAATTGGTTTTTCAGGGATCATCCTAATCAAGTTGTAGTTACTGGGCAGATGCAATAGCAAATTAAATCAGAAGACCTGCCCTAACCGGTTTGGCTCAGTGGATAGAGCGTCGGCCTGCAGACTGAAGGGTCCCAGTTCGATTCCGGGTCAAGGGCATGTACCTTGGTTGCGGGCACATCCTCAGTAGGGGGTGTGCACGAGGCAGCTGATCATCTCATCGATGTTTCTAACTCTCTATCCCTCAACCGGTTTGGCTCAGTGGATAGAGCGTCGGCCTGCAGACTGAAGGGTCCCAGGTTCGATTCCGGTCAAGGGCATGTACCTTGGTTGCGGGCACATCCTCAGTAGGGGGTGTGCACGAGGCAGCTGATCATCTCATCGATGTTTCTAACTCTCTATCCCTCTCCCTTCCTCTCTGTATAAAAAAAAATCAATAAAATATATATTTTTTAATCAGAAGACCTAGTTACAAATCCTGGGTCCTTTCTTATTAGCTGTGCAACCTTATGCAAGTCACTTAATCTCTCTGATACTTGATTCGACATCTTTAACATGTTGAGAGTAATGCCTAGCCAATTACCACACTATTATTGCAAAGATCAAGTGAGATCAAATGTATCAAAGACGTTCTAGATTATAAGATTCTGTATAAGTGGAAGGTTATTATTAACTACACTCAAAATGATGTTAAATTAACTTACATAACACTCAGGATGTATATAATTCTGGGTTCTTAGTTTCTAAAGATGGTTCTACTTTTGCCTGTTCTCTACAGTTTTACTGAATCTTTTTTTTTTTTTTAAAGAAAGGGCATAAGCAAAGGCAAACAGAAAAAAAAAAACACAACGCAAAACAACAACAACATAGAATCATATACCCTTCTCTTTGGTGCTGCTAGGCAAGAATTTTAAACTGAGGTGGATCGTCATGGACTTGATATCACTATCACCTGAGGAAAAGAAATAAAGTAGGGGACATCCAAAAGGTGTGTGATTATTTTCCCATCTTTTGGAAGAATACAAGATCAGTTTACAAAAATTTGTTGTATATCTAATTACTAGCAGCAAAACACTGGACAATTAAATCCATTAAACTATTCCACTTACAATAACATTAAAATATATAAAAATACTCAGGAATAAATTTAAAGAAAAATTAGGTAAGACCTCTACACTAAACTACAACACATATGTATGAAAAAGTAAACTCTAATGTATGTACGAGAAATTAATTAAAACTAAATAAATTAAAAGACATACCACATTCCTGGACTGGAAATCTCAGTATTATTAAAATGCAATTTTCCCCAAATTGCTCCATAGATTTAACACAATCCCAATCAAAATCTCAAACAGGCTTTTGTAAAAATTGACAAGTTGATACTAAAATGTATACAGAAATGCAAAGGACCTAGGGCACACACTTTTTTTTTATTGGACAAAGAAGAAAAAGTGTTGGAGGAGTCACTTGATTGCAGTATTTACTTTAAAACTTCAGTAATAAAAAAATAAATAAAACTTCAGTAATCAAGACAATGTAATATTGGCTTAAGGATAGACAAATAAATCAATGGAACAGAATAGAGAATCCTCTAATAAACCCACATATATATATCAACTGATTTTTAACAAAGGTACCAAAGAAAAAGGAAATGCCTTTCAATAAATAAGATTATAACAAATGGATATGGGGGAAAAGTAAACTTTTTTTCTCCTTACACCACACACAAAAATTGATTCAAAATCATCAAGACTTAAAAATATCAAAATTAAAACTGCAATGATTCTAGAAGAAAACAAAGGAAATAATCTTTCTGACCTTGGGGTAAGCAAAGATTTCTTATAGAGGACAAAAAATTATATACTAACCAAACAAGAAAAACATAATAAATTAAAGTTCATTAAAATTTAAAAGTTAAACACATCAAAAGATATCATTAAGAATATGAAAAGGCAAGCACCAGGCATGGAGAAAATATTTGTAATACGTATATCTCACAAAAGCCTTATTATCCATAATATATAAAGAATTTCTATAAGTCAGTAACAAAAAGACAAACAACCCAATTTTTTAATTGAGCAAATACATTAAGTTATAAAAATGAACAATAAGCATATGAAAATAAGCACAACATCACTAAAGATTAAGATGATACAAATCTAAACCCAAATGAATGCATCTTATACTCACTAGGATGGTTAAAATAAAAAAGACAACACCAAATGACAATAATGATATAAAGCATCTAGAACTCTCATAGATTGCAATTAAGAGTGTGAAAATGGAAAATTGTTTGGCAGTTTCTTGAAAAATTAAACATATGTCAACCTATAATCAGTATTCTAATCCTAGATATTTATCCAGGAAAAACGAAGATGTGTCCACAAAAAGACTTGTATAAAAATGCTCATCACAGCATGATTCACAATAGCTAGTGACTGAAAACAACCCAAATGTCCAGCAACAGGAGACTGGAAAAATACATTGTGATCTATTCATCCCTTGGTATACTACACAGCAACAAAAAGGAATGAACTACTAACCCATGCAATGACTTTGGAAAATACATTTTCCAAAACTCACTGAATAGTACTCTTAAGATGACTCATTTCACTGTATGTAAATTTTACCTCATGAATAAATGAATAACACCATAAGGAAATAACCACACCAATCCAGAAGGTGGGATTCTGCAGGACAACTGGTCAGGTCTTCTCAAAAATCACTGTCATTAAGTACAAGAGAAAAGGATTGTGCTAAATTATAAAAGACTTAAGGGACATAGCAACCAGATGCAATGTATGGTCTTGTATGATCTTGCTTTGAGCAACAAATCCATTAAAGACATTTTGGGGACACCTGGGGGAAATGTGAATATAATCTTGGTTTTAGATGACATAAAATATATTAATACAAAGCTGAAGATTGTTGATGGAAAAGGAAAAACAAGTTATCAGGCATTTCAAATCACTTTTTGGTATTACCAAAAAGCAATTATATGATGTATTACACATATTATATATTATGCATTTATATATGATTATAATTACTTATGTATATTATATATGTATAGAAGGAGATCCTATAGCAAATACACGTTTTCTATTAATATAGGTAACTCAGGGAGAGGGATATGATGTTTACATTTACTTATTTGTTGTATCTTCTAACTTTCCAACAAGTACTGCTTCCATAATAATATATACTGCTTGAAAATATTAGACTCTGAAATTCCTTGTTTTACAAGACAAGGTAAAAAAAAAAAAAAGATGGTAGGGATGGTTAGGGCTAGGAGAAAACAACCTAACACTTGGATATACTAAGTGACTATCTGTTGGGTACATCTCATTTCTTCTCACAACAAACCTATAATTGATCATCCCTACTTTTACAAACCTAATAAGAATACAAGCCAGAAGGAAAATCATTTGGGCAAATATAAAAAAGACCCCAAGTAAAATTCCCTTTATTAACCTTCGGTCGAGAATATGTTTGTATATTTTCAGAAAACAACTCCAAGACCATGTGGATTCCTGCAACAGAGAGGAATTATCAGGAATGCTCCAGCCATGAAGACAAGAGGAAAAACAATCCAGAGATGAAGGACGCTGACGTCACTTTGCCATGCTAGCAGTCAGCAGCTGTGCGTCGCTGCAGGTTGCCCAGGATCAAACCAGAGAGGGTCGGACCTGCATTGCCACCATTTGTCCACCATCCAGAACTGAAATATCATTGCTGACACCTACACATAAGGAACTGTCGGACATTGAAACTTGGACTCAGAACTCTTGGACATTGAAATTGGGACTTAAAACACTTTTTGTTCTTGAAATGTTATGCTCAAGTTTTAAAATGTTTTAGGTTAAAAAAAAATAGAAGCAGGGGCATAGAAAGGGAATGGACTGATAATTCTTGGGGGGAAGGAGGTGTGGGGGGTGTGGGAAGAGACTGGACAAAAATCTTACACCTATGGATGAGGACAGTGGTAGGGGGTAAGGGCATGGGGTGGGGTGGGAACCTGGTGGAGGGGAGATATGGTGGAAAAAAGAGGAACATCTGTAATAATCTGAACAATAAAAGATTTATTAATTTTAAAAAAAAAAAAAGAATACAAGCCAGAAGGTTAACATATTATCTGACCTGAAAACCCATGTTCTTTTCACACCTCACTTACATATTGTTTTATTACTAAATAATTAATTACTAATTGTTTTATTTATGAAGTATTTATTATGTACCAGGCACTCTGTTAAATGTTTTACATGAAACACCTCTCTCCTACCTCATAACAATCTATGTAAGGATGATACTATTATTATTCTCATATCCCCACAACTAAGAAGTGACAGGACCAAGAATCAAATTCAGCCCACCTGGTTCTACATTTTCCTACCCAGGAACTTGTCTCTAAGTTCCACAAGTTCCCAACAGAGTATGGAAGAATGAGTCATCGCTAGCGGGAAAGCAAACATTGATATCAGGGCCTACCATGAAGTTTTTCACAATGATATCCTTGCTTACCTGTCCAGGGCCGTGCTGGTGGGCATACTCCGCCCAAACCCTCGGACCCCCATCTGACGGAAATATGGAATGCAAGAGAGGTTGGCAGCAATGATGGCCAGGGAGTCAGAAGGGCTCACAAAGAAGCCATTTTGGCCTAGGATCATATAACGATCCTGTGGGAAAGAATGTATGAAAATGATCAGACAGAGGCAACTGCTACTAGCAGCCCATTCCCATCATCACCACTTTACTGCCATCATATATTTAAAACAACTTGAATGAGGCCAAAGAGGGCATGGGAAACCTTCTTTTAAATCCCTGAATATTGTAGGCCCCAAGATCTTGACGCAACTAAGAATGTGTCACACCTGTTGAAATGTGGATGGCTACCTCAGGTTTCAGTAGCCTTCATATCCTAATTCACATAGTCCCCCAAACATAATGGAAAACAGGGGTGACAGCTAAACCAGCTGGTTCCTTAACATGGTGCTTTCAACAAAACCAGCCATAAATAAAGATTTATTGCATGAATATTTTTTTAAAAGAAATAACCTTTTCATAACATAATGTTTACCAGGAACTAAGAACAGTAATGGCTAAGTTGCAATACTTATTAAACAGAAGAGCAGACACAGTGCTAGTTAGAGTTCATATGCCCCATACATGTCGGCCCCAGATGGGTTCATTAATTCTCTGGTTTCCAATGCATGGTTCATTAACGTGGCAAAAGGGTCAGCAGGCAAAAAACATTTCTACTTACCCCATCAGCATCAAATGCAGCTCCAAATCCATATTCCCCTCCTTTCATAGCTTCCAGAAGGGTCGTTGCATATGTCAGGTTTGGATCAGGATGCTGCCCGCCAAAATCTTCCAGGGGAACACAGTTTATTGCAGAATTGGCTGGGGCTCCTAGCTCATCACACAGGACTTTTCTCACATAGGGTCCCATAACTAAAAAAAGATACACAGCAATGTAAAATCTTTGCAGAACCTCCACCATCACCACCACCACCACCAAGAGTGTTTTATTAGAACAAGGATGACTATTTAGTAACAACAAATATATATAAGTTCTACCAGCTTTCTCAAGACACAACAAGAATAATATTTACATCAATTACTATTCACTGAGCATCTACTACGTGCCAGTTAGATTGTTAGGCACAGAGAAGATCTATTCAATAATCCAGTTACATGAAACTTTTCTCCAAAACTTTTCCAAACTTTTGTCAGAAAGAAATCAACTATTTAATAATAATTCACTGTCTTTTGCTTTTTATGTATTAAAAGCTTTAGCTAAATATATGCAAAAGCACTAAAAGGCTCTAGTGATGTTCTTTATCTCTGCAATTGTTGTAACTCTGCCAAGTGTATAATTAAACACTGTAGACCACTGAAGCATATAAAACTAAGCACATTTTATAAAATAAATGCTGATGAATAGAGTTTTCCAGTTAAACACATATTTATGGATTGCCTAACATAAAATTCCCATAGAAATGGAGGGGATCACATTCAAGGGACTCAAAGCACATGGTTCCTGCATTGCTGGGTTCTTAATCTAGTAGTGGGATGAGTCAAATCTACAGGTGAGCAACTACAATGGTAAGACAAGCACAATTCATGTGTATTTATAAAATCATCAGATCGAATGGCTTAAGAAAAACAATGACCACAGGTAAGGCTTCCAGAAGGAGGCAGCATTTCTGCATGGACTTGAATGAAGAAGATAAATTTGATAGGGGTGAAGAAGGAGATGCCATCCAAATGAAAAGAACATTATCAGTAAGGAAATATAGCCTAAGACAGAATACACAGCATGTTTGGAGACCAGCAGGTAATTCTGTTAGCTGAAATTTATGAAAAGGATTGCTTTCCATTTATTCTTCATTAATATAATACAAATCTCAAATAGTGAGGCAGCTCTTGATTTTTCTTGCCCAGCACTCATTTCCCCTTCCTCTAGTAGCAACATTTTGGGTTTCCTTGGAAAAGCTTACCCCTTTCCCATCTCAGTTCATGTGATCTGGGTATGGCTAAGTCCCACTTCTCCAAAAGTTGGGGAGGTGACTAAGATCTGCCCAATCAGTGTCCTTCATTCCTCTGCCAGAATGATGATTCAGAGATGGGCATATAGCTAGGCAGTGAGGCTCAAACCCAGAAATATTACTCAAACTATTTAGAAAGAGAAGCTTTCTTTCCTCTGGCCAGATAACGCTAAGGAAAGAACCTGAAAGATCCTTTCCTGTGGATATGACCAGCCTAATTGGAAAGAATAAAACAGCCCAGACAGAAGGCCTTAAAGTCCACGGAGGATAAGCTCCACACATGGGCTCAGAGAGCCCAACACATTTTTAGTGTCTCACTCCTAAACATGTCAGAGAGCCAAGGATCACCAAACTTTTGAGGAATGCATTTAACATGAGACTAAAACAGAGTAAAGAGCAATCTGAAGGAAACAGAAACTATACAGAGAAGAAAACTTCTAAAATATGTCAGTAATCTATACTAATAAAAGGGTGATATGCTAATTAGGGAGGACGTCCATCCAGACAAAGCCACAGCGGCTGCGAGGCCTGAGGCTCAGGCGGCTGTGGGTTCAGGCAGCCATGAGCCCCAGTGGCTGCAAGGCCTAGGGCTCAGAAAGCCATGAGTCCCAGCGGCTGCGAGGCCTGGGGCTTAGGCCTTGCAGCCATCATGGCTGGCAGTGGCAGTAGCAGCAGGGTGATGGAGGTGGCGCCTTCCCCTGATCAGCCTGGTGGCCTCCCACAGAGGGAGGCCAGATTGCGGCTTAGAACTGACTTAAGCCGTCAGTAGGACATCCCCTGAGGGCTCCCAGACTGTGAGAGGGGGCAGGCCAGGCTGCCCCCGCCTCCAATGCACGAATTTTCATGCACCAGGCCTCTAGTATCCTAATAGAGATCAACAAGTTTTGTTAGAATGGCTAACACTGAAAAGACTAACAATACTAAGCATTGATGAGGACACAGAGAAAATGGAGCCCTCATATATTCCCGGTAATATAAATGATACAGCCACTTTAGGGAACAGTTGGGCAGTTTCTAGGTATTTATCCAAGACAAATGAAATCATATCTCCCTACAAAGACTTGTTCATAAATGTCTGTAGCAGCTTTGTTTATAATGGCCAAAACCTAGAAATAACCCTAATTACATGAACTGGTGATAGATAAATAGTACTACCCTACAACGCACTACTACTCAGTCAAAATAAGGAATAACTGCTAATACACACAACACCATGAATGCATCTCTGAAACATTATGCTGACTGAAAGAAGCCTGAAGAAAAAGGTGACATATTACATGGGGCTTTCTGAAAAAGGCAAAATTATGTAGGCAGAGAGCAGATGAGTGATTGCCAGGGGCTAAGTGTTAGAGGCTGGGTTTGATTTCAAAGGGCCACAGAGGTATTTTTTGAAGGGAAATATTCTATATTTTGATTGTCATATTGGTTACATAATTATTTATATTTGTCAAACTTCATCTAACTGTATACCTACAAGGTGTAAATTTTGCTGCATATATATAAATTATACCTCAGCAAATCTGACTTATTTTAAAAAATATGGCATTCATGAAACATGAATAAGAAGCTATTTTAAAAAGAAATTATTTGGAAAACAAAAACAACTGGGAGAGATTAAAAATGTGCTAGTGGGATTGAAAAACTTAATGGAAGAAATTGGAGATAAAGTTGATTAAATTTCCCAGAAAGTATCACAAAATAAAGAGAAGATAAATGGATGGTGGTGATGGGGGGGGGGGGGAAAAAAAATCTTTCATTATAAAAGAGAATAATTGAGATCTTTAGTTTTCCAGTTAATTTGAGGATGGGAAAAATAGTTTTGTGGAGGACACTAGTGTGTGTGTGTGTGTGTGTGTGTGTGTTTTAACATAAGAGTTGCTCATTTAACTGATTTTTTTGCTTTCAGTAGCTAGATCAAGAATTAAATAAAAACCTTTTTATGTTTTTCCATGCAAGTGGTTGTTTATTTAAGTCTCTGTTATAGTAGGTTGTTCAAATCAAGATATTTGCCCTGCCTTGGAGAACTGAAAATCAGACTGTTCTTTTAATATGAAAAACAATAAGACTGTGGAATAAAGTGTCTAAAATGAATTACTTTTGATAATTGAAAAATGATAATTTATTATGAACTAAGCACTTTATACATTTTTCATCTATTACTCTTCAGAACAATCTTATAAGCAGATTCTATTATTAATTTCAATGTGTTGATGATGAAAAGGAGGTGGAGTAAGTTTAAGAAACTTTGCATGGTAACGGATGGAGTTAGAATTTGATATTCACTCCTTGCTACTCAAAGTGTGGTCCCTGGACCAGCAACGTTGGCATCACCTGGGAGCTTGTTAAATATGAAAATCTTGGGCCCCATTGCAGGCCCACTGAATGAGAATCTGACCTGCAATTTATCAAGATCTACAGGTTATTTCTCTGTTCATTGAAATTTGAGAAGTATTGCTATAGTCTTTATTCTTTTTTACTGCTTATAATATTCATAATGTAACTCCCTTTTAATTTATTATATTCCATGTAAACATCATCACATTGTTCATCTGAAACATTAGTAAACTTGCTTGTGGTTATTAAAAAGGTTGGTAATGACTGTTCTGTAAAACTGAGAATGAGGGCAGAAACTTGTAGAGGAGAGGAGAGGAGAGGAGAGGAAGGAAAGAGAGGAAAGGAAGGAAGGGAGGAAGGAAATCATCCAAAAAGTAATTCAAAATAATTTCCCAGAATAAAAGGGCATAATTTTTCAGATTAACAGGATCCACCTCATACTGCCTGACTCTTTCAGTGGCTGAGCCTTATGGGCAATGGGCAGGGCTTAGGGTGCCCTGTGCCTTCTGCTGAGTGGGCCCAGGCATGGTACTGGTGGCAGCCAGCCACGGTTAGCAGTGTGGCTTCTCCCACGCACTTCCAGGCCTAGCACACGTAGCTAGCTACCAACCTTGAATCGCTTTGTAGCTCCTACCAGGTAGCACCAGGTCAGTTACAGGCAGCAGCTGATTTTGGCCTGTACTGGAGCAGTTCCCAAGAGGCCCCAGAACCAACACACCTCGTGGCTGGCTTCAGACCACAACAAGCACTATCCAATTAGCTCCACAAGCAGCACCCCCAAACGGTGGTCTCGGCAGGCACCAGAGCCCACTGGGGCAAATCCCACTCTACAGGGTCAGCCTGAGCACAGCAGCTCATACATACCCTGTGGTCATGGCCAGTCTTCACAGCCAGTCAGCCTGAGGGTTAACCCCACCCACTGATGTGCCAATAGCAATCAAGGCTCATCTACAACAAGAGGGCACACACAATCCACACAAGGGACACTCATGGAACACCGGGCTCAATGATCAGGGAGACTGTGTGCCACTGGTCCCCACAGGTCACCTAGTACATAAGGCACCCTGCCAAAACCAGTTAGAGCAGATCTACCTTATTAGGAGCAAACACAGTGTGACAGCAGACTTATTTGTTCAAGCTTTGTTTTCATTTGCATCAAACAAAAAGAATTAGAGCCCTGAAGTTTACCAGAGCATTCCAAATAACTGAAAATACATACGTTGTATGAATACCTACAAATCCACCATTCCTCATAATACCAGAAACCCCACATGGGTCAAGGTCTCCTTAACATTTCTTGCCCACCAAATGGTAAAAGCCCCCAAGCTTACCTCCATGCATAGCATCAACTCGGATCTTCAGTTGGCCAGGCCCAGCTAGCAAACTTTTGATGGCATTAAAGTCAAAGATGGTCCGAAGGAGATTGAGATAGATATCCACTGGGTCCACTATCTCCACTAAGGATAAAAAAGCAAAGGAAAACTGTGACCATGAAGAAGACTTGGAAGTATAAAAATGAATTACTACCCTAATATATGGATCTCTAATCATAATCCCATCATAACCCCACACATTATGTGGGAAGCCAAGTGTCCATTTACAGACAAAATCACAAATTAAGACACATTAAGATGCTACAAACTTTTCAGGTTACATGGATATAAATAGTATTAAGATTTAAATTCTCCTTTGCAAGTAAAAAATCAACCACAAGAATAAAGTAGTTAAAACTGTGTCCTGTTTCTGCCACCTCCCCCAAAAAACTGCACCCACATCAGTGCTGAAAGGCATCTTGGCATACTCAGTGGGCTCTCCTATGGGGTTGGCCAAAGAATGACTCAGCTGGCATGAAACAAATCAAGGAGTGACCTCAGCAGTGACTCCTATTTTCCAAATGCCATTGTGCCAAACAGACTCAGGTTCGAAATTAAGGATGAGGGATATATTCCTGAGTTTGTGTGAAGTCTCTTGTGTGCCCAATCTAGTACCAATTCAAGGGTGAATGCCAGATATTAGAAATCCTCATCAAACACAAATGTACTCCAGTGTCCAACACCACCCAATGACCAGGAATCCAAAACAAGGCTTTTCCATTTATGTGACAAATAAATAAAACCAGAATACATTACATTTTTCAAACTTAGTGATCATTACATAATAATACTCAGAAAGTACTTATCCTAGAAAAGTTCCTACTTGACTTTTAGACACTAAGATTTTGTTCATGAGCCTAACTCTTTAAATTCGTAAATTCTGAAACTTACATGTGTTGCTTTTCAAAGTTTTCAAACACATGCTTCTTTGGAATCCTGAAATACCTAAACATGCACTAAGAATATTAGCAATCCACCTTTAATAATTTTCAGTAAACCCACATGCCATATTTAATGGAAGAGATTTTAATATGTAACATGAAACTCTCTTCCTCTGGTCAAATATGCAAAATTATTTTTCCTTGCACTTAGATCAATGTACTATGTAGGTCCATTCAAATATAATGTCATTACTTTTAAAGAACACAGTTTTTAATCACATTTTGACAGGGAGAAGATACTAATCCTTAAAATAAATTAATTAAAAATTAATCTATATGAACTTAACACCTAAAAATGGTTAAAATGATAAACTTTATTATATAGGATATATATATATATATATCCTATATAATAAAGAGCTAATATGCTAATTAGACCGAACAACAGAATGACCATCTGGACGACCTTCCGGACGAAGCCAAGGCTGTGAGGGGCTGCAAGGGCCGGCCAGGGCTGCGAGGGCCGAGCCCCTTGCACAAATTTTGTGCATCAGGCCTCTAGTATAACCACAACAAAATATTAATCTATAAAATAAAAAGTCATGTCTTGAATATAGTAAACATTTTACTCATTCTAAAATATAGAATAATGTTTTTGGCAATTTCAATCTGGTACTTTAATTCTAGAACCACTTGCCTAAATACATTTGTATTTAGAGCAGATAACACATAGTACCAAACAGAAATGTAAAAAACAACAAATAGATTTCAGTGAAATTTAGAAGTTCACTCCACAAAGTTCATGCTTTGTGTTTCATGAGTGTCCCTTATATGTGGGTTGTGTGTGCCCTCCTGTTGTAGTTGATCCTTTAAGGTGAAATGCCAAGGATTTATTTGTTTCCAATTAACCTAAGCCCTGCTCAACATTTAAAACAGCAAGAACTTACCACAATTATCCCAAACAATTATGTGCACATGCTTTTGGGGAGCCAGGGAATCTCTCTACCACTTCCTGGTATCCATAGCATTTTTTAAAAAAAACTCATCAAATTAGCAATGTGGCTGCAGCAATGGACATGAATCTGAGTTCGTCAAAGACCTGGTCTCTTGAACAACTAAATAATATTGTGAAGATATAATCAATCAATCAATCAATCAATAAAACTTTTTCTTGATGGAAATGCCTGATTTTTCTCAGTCATCTTATTGCCCAGTTCTTCCAAACCTAGTTGGGGGGATGTACATGTGCATGCACACGTGTGTGCACCCCTACACACACACACACACACACACACACACACACACACTGATTTGACATGCTCCCAACTAGATTAATAAAAGCAGGCTTCCGTTGCTTCCAGTAAGTATCACATGGCTTTGCATTGATTTCTGATAACAATTAACTCAAAATCTTTCAAGAAAAATGTAATAGAGTTGGCCCAAAAATGTGACCCTTGAACAGTTCATTTCAAGCTCTTCTGACCCTACAATACCATGTTGCTATGAACCAGGTATTTCATCTTTTTAGCTAAGTCAAATTACTTGTAAAACATGGGTACCATCTTAACTGTATTTAAGCTTACAGGGATACCAAATGAATAAAAAAAAGAAATATTAGCTTTATTGCTACTTGTATGCCTTCTAGGAAAAAAGAAAAATATCAAGATAAAAATAAGAGGGGGGAAATGATATGCACATAAATGGCAGTAATTCTGTTATATAGTGCAATCCTATCTAATAATAGACAAACATGGTAATTAACCATATCTCCGCTACGCTTTCCATCGGCTACTCAGCAGGATATGCAAATTAACTGCCAACAAAGATGGCGGCCGGCAGCCACGCAGCTGAAGTGAGCAGGAGGTTTGCTTGCTCCAGTGATGGAGGAAGCCAAGGTTCCCCGCCTGCCGCGGCCCAGCTCTGAGCTCC